CATTTGATCTACAATTCGAGAGGTAGATCGACTCTACCAATCAACCTAGACGCCGCTAGGAAGCCCTCAAAGAAAAGAACTACAGTAAACACCCACAAAACTCATCAATAGCATGATCTAAAACCCTAGACAACTCCCCTTTCCATAACACATATAGAACATTCTTAAACAATAAAACATAATTTATAAAACCTTCGTAAACGACTAATCATAATTCAGGAAACCTTCCTAAACAATTAAATACTTCATAGATAGTATAAATATAATTAAGAAAAAATTTCTAAACAATTAAATATGATTTAGGAAACCTTCTTAAATAATTAAATATAATTTAGGAAACCTTTCTTAATAATTAAAGACTTCCTAAAAAGTATAAACATAATTTAGAAAACCTTCCTATATTAATTAAACATAATTTATGAAATCTTCCTAAACAATATAAACATAAATAGGAGACCTTTTCAAACAATTCTCCCTTAATTAGGAACCTTCCAAAACAACTACCCTTGATTAGGAATCTTCTAAATATCTTCCCCTGGGCCCCACAAGATGGGCCTTCTTGGCATATCAACTCTATCAAGTAAAATCAACAAAACTTGAGAAACACCAAATATGCTAATATAGACAATGCTCTCTAATTTAATCTCTAAAAGATGCTCTCATCCTTTACTTGCCTTTGAATTATAAGTCGCACTAATAACAATTAAACAAATGGCAATACTTTACAAGTAATTTTCTTTTGATGATTAGGTAGAGGTAGACCTAAAAAGACCTGGTTAGAGAATATTAGAAATTACTTTCTTTATTAGATTTAAATGAGAATTTGACTCTTAACAGGACAATAAAGAAAAAGGATTTATATAGCCCCGAGAAAAAGGATTCATGTAGCCCCCCCCACGTAGTGTGGTAAAGGCTTGCTCCAAACTTTTATAATGTCTCAATTTAGTCCCCGAGTTATTAAAAAATATCTCAATTTGGTTCCGAGGTCAAATATAACAGTTAAAGTTAACCTCAACAGTTAAATGTGAGGGTATTTTGGATATTATGGTATATGTGAGATTATATTATTATTTTATATATTTTATCATTTATCATATTAAAATAAATAAAAAAATTATAATAAAAGTTAACCACGTTTATTAATTATTTACTCTTGTTATTTAGTTGGTCAACTTCCATTATGATTTTTATACTTATTTTAATATGATAAATAACAAAACATATAAGAAAATAATAAAATCTCACATACACCATAGTATCCAAAATACCCTCATATTTAATCGTTAAGGTTAATTTTAACTATTATTTTTTACAGTAATCAAATTAGAATATTTTCTGATAGTCGGGGGACTAAATTGAATCATCATGAAAGTTTGTGACTAAATTAGATATTTACTAATAGTCGGGGGACTATTTTGAACTTTTACTCTACAATTATTATTGAATAATAATTGAATGAATGCAAATTATTTATAAGCAATTTAGTGATCTTTGTATCTACACTATGTGCGTGGATCACCCCAAGTTTTGTATATGGAACTAATCCTCTTCCACCTCCATCAAAATTTTGTATTAGATTTTGCATTCGTAACTATGCAAGCCCTAATCTCACAATTTCTATACAAATGCTTCACTAGCACATGCCTTACCCTGCAAATGAACTCATCTCACAATCATAAAGGCCGCCATCAACACATGCAATTGCATGCATTTTCGCTGCATCAACTCACTTAAGCATTTTTCATATGCAGAATTATGTCCACCGCTAAAACAAAACTTCTCTCTCCACCTACATCCAACATGTGCATACCATGGCTAGTATTTGCATTACAAGTAGCCTTCTGATCATGATTCACTCAACCTCCCAATCTTCACATACATCCATGCCGCTCCCACACCAGATACCACAGCCTCGCACACTCTCATCACAAGCATTCCCCTATACATTGCTCTTATACTAATGCGCTCTCAATCACATGTGTCCCACACTTATTGCTTTGCTCGCACTATGACCTGATATCATGCTAGTCTGCACTCATGTCATCCAAAAATCTCATTTCTTCTATCCCTAACCTTTGCACACTTTCTTTGGGCATCATCCTTCACCCTATTGGCGTGTGTCACGAGTCCCACATTGCATTCATTTGTAGCCTGCACATTTCTTCTATCATATGCCTACTACTATGATTATAAAGAACAACTTCCACCTTGCTCCTAATGTTTATGTGTGCATGCCAATGCACAACTTGTCACCTGTCACTCATCATTGATTATTGCAACCACCAACAACTGACAAGAGGTCTATTGCATGCATGGAGATCACAACTATAATGTTCGACCCAACTACGTTAATGTATAATCTTTGTTGATATTGGATAATTAGTGCTGCATGAAAAATCAATTAATTTATGTCCAATAAAAACTAGTCAAACCATGATCATATAAATTATCCTACTTAGTGAGATTTACATGCAACTATGCAAGTGAACTGAGAACTCTACCAAAAATTATCCAGCTTATTGTCAAATGATCATGAAGTTATTTTCTATATTCTTAACAGCACTAAATTTTATTTTTATAGTGGAAGAAAATTGATTCAGCTTGTAATGAGACGTGCAAATAATTGCTTCAAGTAACTCTATTAGTTAACAAACTTGTTAGATTGTACTACCATACTGCATTAATATTGTTTACGTACTACATTAATATTGTTTGCAAGCATGACACTATAAAAAATTCAAAATAATTTTGATGAGTATCTTACCCAAATTTATCAAATTATCAATAGCCTATTGGTAATGATGAAAAATCTAAGCTTTTAGAAATTAAACTTAGGCAAATCATTGATAGGCTAGAGACTAATATAAGCATCTTGAAAGAAATAAAGAAACACTTGCATAGACAAACTGCGGAACCACCTATATGTTAGAGCAGGCAATTGCCCACCCACCGTTTTTATTTTTATTTTATTAGGAGATAATTGCCCAATAGAAGCATATTTTTTTTAATTAAAAACCTTAGCCCTTCCCCTACCTATCCCACCACCAGGCCCCATCGCGAAGACGCATGCAAGGGAGGATTTGTTTAGACAAAATTGATTCTTTTTTTTGGAAATAGAGAGAATTTGTTGTTTGCAGTCTTCTAATCATGTAGCCTGTAGCTTTCAAAAAGTTTGTTTTAGCTTTGGAATTTAATTAACTTCTTTTTCTTGTTTTTAACCTATCCTCAAAGAACAGTTAGCTTACAAGAAAGGAAGGTTATATTATTTTCAAGCATAGTTTTTTTGCTAGTTTTGAATTTCCCTATTGCATTTTAAACTAAAACTGCTTTTTTATCCTTTTTTTTTTGAAAGAACAGTGCTGAAGTGTGCTTATGAGAGCAGTTTCCTACTCTTAACTTTTTATTAAAAATCTATCTATCTCTCTTATTGAACTTACCTTCCCCTTCTTCTCCTCTTGTTTGCAATGAATATTATATCTTTATGATTGTAAGAGCTTGAGGAAGGAAATTTAACATTTGAAGTGGCCTTCCAATCGATTGAGGTAACTCATGTTTTCTAAAGGAAAGTTAATACGACGATGATAGCTTTTAGTTCAACTCATTTATTCTCTATATATATCATTCTTCACTTTCATTTTGTTATCATATTAGTTTATGCAAGTTATACTTAAACAAATGAGAGAGAATAATAATCACTATTCTTGTAATCGTTTAAATTACTTGATATTTGAAGAGGAAAGAAAAAGTGATGATTGATATTGACAATCTTCTGGCTGACATTGGGTTTTGATCTTCAATTTGGAGCTATGATGTTAATTAAATGGATAAAATTTGAACAATACATTTGGTAAAGGGATCAGATAAGCTAAAAAGTTATGATTCCCCCAGACAATGATGATAATTTTGCATAAAAGTTTAATCTTTAAGTAGGATTGCCCTTGGCCACGGAAAAAATGTGAAAAAAATCATCTTTAAGCAGGATTGCTAATCTTGTAAAATAAAAGGTAAGTAAAAAAGAATGATTTGTATTCCTTAGTTTATAAAACTATTATCTCGACATTAACTTTACTAATTGCTACTACTATAATCGAGACAATTATCAAGCATCGATTGCGTAGAAAATGGGTGATAAGTGGTTTAATGGATGCCTAATATCTTACATTCAGAAAGAAGTATTTGACTTGGTTTCCAATGAAGTTGTCATGCAATATAATCAACAAATGCAAAATAGATTGACAATCTTATGATCATTGTTCAAATCATCAATCGTAATGACATGTAAGGCATTATTTTGAGCTATGTATTATCCATTTTATTCTTTTTTTAATATTAATTCATTTATGTAATATACTTGCTCACACTCAAAAAGGAGGTTAGTGCACAAATAGTTGTCAATGGGGGCATCCACTAATAGACAAATCTCTATACCATAAAATCTTTCACTTGACACTAAAATTTATTATAGAATCCTTGAGGAGTTATTTGATGATTTAGACTAGTCTACACAATCCACCTATCATGCGCAAACAAGGAGACCTATCCTGACTTATCCTTTGCATCTATATACCACTTCCCTCATGAATTTTTCATCTAAAATTCAAAAGCCAAGAACGGTAACAATATGTTTGGGTTGAAGGAATTGGTGGAATGCTTCACAACTACATATTGGGAGTAATGTTCCACTGAAATCAGTAGAAAATTGTAGTTACCAAAAAATTGTGAACAAATATATTTTTCCATCGACAATTCCCTATCCAACCCTAATGAAAAACATATGAAAATTTTATCAGATGCGTTATGTGACCAGCAAGGCCCTCCATAAAAGAAACAAAAATTCAATTTCTCATTTAAAAAAAAAATCTTTCACTAAACTACTCCTCAATCAAACAAGTGAAGTGAAATAAGTTTCAATTAAATTTCTTTATTATTTCCTTTCTTGCTTCATTTCTTATAATTCCATCAAACCGAACCGAGCCTAAATGACGAGAAAACCAACTCACCTTGAGATATGCGTAAATGGTAGGGCAGGCAACGCAGGCTACCGGAGAACGAGTGGAAGCAAAAATGTCTTTTATCTCCTCCGCAATAGTCTCCGCTGTGTGTCGATCGTACCAGAACTGGCTTAGCCTCCAGTCCTCCGCTACCAGCTTCACGTCCTCCAAACTTTCACCGGTCGCCGAGCTTTGCTCGCTTAGGAACTCTCTCAGAGCTTGAAGGGTATGCTCGCTGAGTGTTGGGTAGTCATCCTCTTCATCAATGACCTCCAACGATGGATTATGCCTTTCTTCCTGCTCGACCGACATTGTTTTGGAACTAGTAGGTGACCCGAAGATCGATCGCCGTGAAAGAAATCGGTCCTCCTTTGTATAGCTTCGTCGAATACTCTGAATAAATTATATATATATATATATTCTCAAAAAATTATTTTGATCGGTCACGAATCTCGAGGCAAAAAGTCAGTTGAAGACTTCAAAGATTAAATTCAGTAGCATCTGAACTCCGATTTCAGCGAGCTTACAGTCAAACTGAGCGTCTCGGAAATACAAACCAACGACACCAAATTCAACCCAATCCGAGCCCAAATGGGTCCGAATTAAGGACCCGAAGCGTTGTTGGAAGGTTCAAACCTTAATTTGAGTTACCAAACGGTCTTCGATTTTAACGAGCTTATGCTTGAATCGAACGGCTCGACGAGACGAATCCAACGAGCCCAAGATAGACAAATTTTGACATCATTAAGGCCTCCAAATGTCCAACGAACGGTGCACGATCGAAGGGTTCAATATCGGCCGTCCGTTCAAACCACTCCCTATTCGCCCCTGATCTCACACCTATTTACGAGTCATGTCACTCCAGAAAACTATAAATAGAGCCCTCGTTCTTCACAAAGGGAACTCAAGTGAAGAGAGAGAATAAGAAGAGAAGAAGGAAGAGAAGGGAGAAGCTCCTCCTCGACCACCGCTGGAGCTCTTCCCGCCGCCTGAAGACGCCGGAACTCTGCCGGATTTTTGGGAAACGCCGAGAATTTGCAGAACTTTGTAAACTTGCTTGAACAAATGAATTGTAATCTGATTCCCCCGACTTGTGGGACGAGAGAGCTTCTTCCCCATACTCTCCGACGTCATTCCCTTCTTCAGGATGGAAAGTTACTCCATTTTGATCGCAAGCAAAAACGGGAGCTCGCTATATCTCTCTTATACACGGTTCTTCGGCCAAATCCTTTGGGACCCAAAAAACAGCGGGTCGGGTCGGCGTCTTTTCTTCCTGCTACGTGGCGCTAATACATTGGTGTCCGAACGTAGAGGAACATATGTTCACCGGACCAAATAAAAGTTCCCTTTGTATAGCTTCGTCGAATACTCTGAATAAATTATATATATATACATATTCTCAAAAAATTATTTTGATCGGTCACGAATCTCGAGGCAAAAAGTCAGTTGAAGACTTCAAAGATTAAATTCAGGAGCATCTGAACTCCGATTTCAACGAGCTTACAGTCAAACTGAGCGTCTCGAAAATACAAACCCAACGACACCAAATTCAACCCAATTCGAGCCCAAAAATCAAGGACCCGAAGCGCTGTTGGAAGGTTCAAACCGTAATTTGAGTTACCAAACGGTCTTCGATTTTAACGAGCTTATACTTGAATCGAACGGCTCGACGAGACGAATCCAACGAGCCCAAGATAGACAAATTTTGACATCATTAAGGCCTCCAAATGTCCAACGAACGGTGCACGATCGAAGGGTTCAATATCGGCCGTCCGTTCAAACCACTCCCTATTCGCCCCTGATCTCACACCTATTTACGAGTCATGTCACTCCAGAAAACTATAAATAGAGCCCTCGTTATTCACAAAGGGAACTCAAGTGAAGAGAGAGAATAAGAAGAGAAGAAGGAAGAGAAGGGAGAAGCTCCTCCTCGACCACCGCTGGAGCTCTTCCCGCCGCCTGAAGACGCCGGAACTCTGCCGGATTTTTGGGAAACGCCGAGAATTTGCAGAACTTTGTAAACTTGCTTGAACAAATGAATTGTAATCTGATTCCCCCGACTTGTGGGACGAATCAGCCATTTGTAATTTGTAAAATACTAGTGGAATTTTTTCAACTGGGCGAGGCCCCGTGGTTTTTTCCCTTTTTGGGTTCAAATTCATAAACTCTACCGCCGCGTATATTCTAGCACGCAACAGTTTAGTGCCGTCTGTGGGAAACACTATCCCACAACTTCAAGTATTGATACAATGGTCAACAGGCGTAGCAGTCGCATCATTGAAGCTTCCCGCTCCAACTCCCACCAATCCAGAAATCTATCTGCAAATCACAGACGCCCGATGTCTGCCTCTTTTCATTATGGGGGGCAGAATGCTGCCGGAGAAGGGACCTCAGGACCTTCTTTAGAAGAAAGAATCTGAAAGATGGAAGAATCTCAGAATGAAATCCTTCAACTCTTGCGAGATAATCAACAGCCGACATTGGATGAGGTCCTTCTCCGTTGGGATCCACAAAGGGTTAAAGATGTTCAATTCGAGCATCTTCAAGAAGAGATTCATCTTCCTCCACCTAGGAGACATCCTCAACGCATCCTTCCCCCTCGACTAAGTAGCCTCGCATACTTTCGGATCTCTCAGAAGGCTCTGCCCAACCACACATTACGGAACTCCCTCACAATGTCATGCGTCACGAACTGAGAAGATTGGTACGGAAAGAGTTCCCCTGATGAGATGTGAGGCATGCTCTCCGACAGAGGAACTTCCAGGAGTCATCACCTCTAACTGAAGCCATTCTTCAACACCACATTTTGGTCGAATTCAAAGTACCAAACGTTGAGTCCTACGACAGGACAACCAACCCGTATGAGCATATTAACTACTATAGAACCATCATGCATATTCAACGAGCATCGGACGCGCTCCTCTGCCAGGTCTTTCCTGCCACCCTTAAAGAACAGGCCCGAACGTGGTTTTACTCGCTTCCACCTGGAACGATCCCCTCATTTATCAAATTGGCCAAAGTATTTGTCGAACAATTTGTGGCCAATCGAAGAATTGCTAAGGATTCTTCCCACCTCTCCGGGATCCGTCAAAATGAGAGAGAATCGTTGAAGGAGTATTTTCAACAATTTTTCACTGAAGCACGACAGATTCCCGGAGTAGACCCTAAATTACTCAGATGGGTCTTTCTTGGAGGTCTTCATCCTGGCCCCTTCTATTCAGCACTCATGCGCGACACTGTTCATTCATATGCTAACCTGATCCATCGCGTGGAGGCACAAATTTCTACAGATGAAGCTATAAATGCTCACATGAAGCAATTTGAGCAAATCAACGGGAAGCGCAAAGGTGCACATGGGATGGACAATTCATTTTCACAACATAAAAAGCAAAGGCAGAATGATCTACCTCCTAGGCCTCCATTACCGCGATGGGAACCCTGACAGGAGAAGGAGTATACCCCACTCAACACGTCTCGAGCAAATGTATTGATTGCCGTTCGAGATCAAGATATATTAAAATGGCCAAATCCTTTGAAGTCGAACACAGGAAATACAAATCAGTATTATCACTTTCATCGAAGTCGTGGTCACACCACCGAAGCCTGTAAGCAACTCAAGGATGAGATTGAAAGACTTATCCGCCAGGGCTACCTTCGACAATTTATTCGGGATCCACCTACCCGTGAGGAAGCTCGTCCCGTTGGGGGGAAAAATCAACAATAAAGATAACCATTGAATAATATTCGAGTGGTTGGAGAGATTGAATGATCACGCACTATGTGCATTTGTATTAGCAATACTACTTATCTTGTTGTCTCTTTTATGTTGAGTAGGGTGTCACTTTGATATCTCTAATATCTTCTTTCAAGTTAAATGTTGTATTGTCACCGTACGTAGATCTTATGTATTGAGTACATTATAATTTGTATATCCCTGACTCATACGAAAGAACTATTTTACTATCTTACATGATGTAGTAATATAATATTCATATTATTGTGATATTATTTTCTCTTGTGAAAGATAAAATTTTTTTCAAACTCTTTCTCCGTGATTTGAGAAATACATAATCTACGTTGTATCTCAATCACCAGCTGATCAATCAAGGGGGATTTGATATGACCTCTTCCACACAGGTTAACGTCATCGAGCAAAGACTCCGACATGCAACCTCGGATAGGTCTCACATCCTTGGTGGATTCTCTCGACCTCTTCTACACAGGTTAACATCATCGAGCAAAGACTCCGACATATAACATCGGAAAGGTCTCACATCCTTGGTGAATTCTCCCGACCTCTTCTACACAGGTTAACGTCGTCGAGCAAATACTCCGACATACAACATCGGAAAGGTCTCACATCCTCGGTGGATTCTCTTGACCTCTTCCACACAGGTTAACGTCGTCGAGCAAAGACTCCGACATACAACCTCGGATAGGTCTCACATCCTTGGTGGATTCTCTCGACCTCTTCCACACATGTTGATGTTGTCGAGCAAAGGCTTCGACATAAAACCTCGGATAGGTCTCACATCCTTGGTGGATTCTCTCGAGCCCTTTTACAAAGGTCAATATCACCGAACAATATTCCGAGTAAACAATGTTCTCTCTATAAAGACTCCAAGAACGCAAGTGATTGATAAATCTATCACTTATACAAAGAATTCAATCAGTATAAAATTTCGGAACAAATATTTTCAGACTTCTACTCGTCGTCGGACTTCTGCTCGTCGACGAACTTTCGTTGGTCTTCTATCCGACATTATACTTCTACCCGACGTCGGACTTCTCCCTATCATCGAACTTCTACTCATCAGCGTACTTCTACTCGTCGTCAGACTTCTGCTCGTCGACGTACTTTCGTCAGTCTTCTACCCGACGTCGGACTTCTACCCGTCGTCAGACTTCTGCCCGTCGATGGACTTTCATCAACCTTCTACCAGACATCGTACTTCTACCCAACGTCGTACTTCTATCGGACGTCGGAATTCTACCTGTCGTCGGACTTCTGTCTGTCAATGGACTTTCGTCGGTCTTCTGCCTGACGCCGTATTTCTACCCGATGCCGGATTTTTACAGTTCAACAGATTTCTCGAAGATCAGAGGGCGGAAGAAATCCTAACTTTTGCACTAGAGGAGGGGTGTTAAGTCGAGCAGGAAAAATTTTCCACTCGTAAATAGCGGAAGCCTCAACTGTCGGAAAGCCAGAGGGGCAGAAGAAAAATCCCCTAACTCCTGCACGAGAGGAGGGGCACTAATCCGAGCAGGGGAAATTTTCCACTCGCAAATAGCGGAAGCCTCAACCGTCAGAAAGCCGGGGGGAGGAGAAGAAAAATCCCCTAACTTCTGCACCAGAGGAGGGGCGCTAAGTCGAGCAAGGGAAATTTCCCACTCGCAAATAGCGGAAGCCTCAACCGCTGGAAAGCTAGAGGGGCGGAAGAAAAATCCCCTAACTCCTGCACGAGAGGAGGGGCGCTAATCCGAGCAGGGGAAATTTCCCACTCGTAAATAGCGGAAGCCTCAACCGTTAGAAAGCTGGGTGGAGGAGAAGAAAAATCCCCTAACTTCTGCACGAGAGGAGGGGCGCTATGTCGAGCAGGGGAAATTTTCCACTCGCAAATAGCGGAAGCCTCAACCGTCGAAAATCCAGAGGGGCAGAAGAAAAATCCCCTAACTTCTGCACGAGAGGAGGGGCGCTATGTCGAGCAGGGGAAATTTTCCACTCGCAAATAGCGGAAGCCTCAACCGTCGAAAATCCAGAGGGGCAGAAGAAAAATCCCCTAACTCCTGCACAAGAGAAAGGGCGCTAATCCGAGCAGGGGAAAATTTTCCACTCTCAAATAACGAAAGCCTCAACCGTCAGAAAGCCGGGGGGAGGAGAAGAAAAATCCCCTAACTTCTGCAATACATGAGGGGCGCTAAGTCGAGCAGGAAAAATTTCTCACTCACAAATAGTGGAAGCCTCAACCGTCGGAAAGCCAGAGGGAGAAAAGGAGAAGGTGCAAGTTTCCTAAAGGCTTTAGAGGCCTATTTATAGGTTCCGGAGAGATAAAGGGGGAGTTATTATCATTTTTGAAACCCCAAATTTTTCTAAATTTTTTTTTGAACTTTTCGAAATTTTTTGGGATTTTTTTTGGAATTTTTTGGACCAAAAAACTGCTATTTT